GCAAATGGTATTTTAATTATAAAACTGAACATAATTTTGCTGTTCAGTGAAAAACTGGATTTGTCTATCTAGCGATATTATTATCGATATCATTATCGATTTTTGTCGAAACCATTGCGCAAATGTTGATTAAACTTGCCCTCGCTTTCCTTTTCGCCTTTGATTTTTTCCCCTCACTTAACACTAAAGCCTTAACTATCTCAAAAAAAAAAAAAAAAAATATGCAAAAAAATCGAATTCTACTAACAGACTCTCTTAGAAACACCTGGAAAGTTTCTCAACGACATGAATACAACAACTCCAGGAGTAACTTGAACTAGTGCGGATACAACATCAAAGCTCTGTGTAAAACACGCAGCGTCAGTGTCTTACCAAAGAGACATTCATACAAAAACATATCCAATGACATACACGTACATATAATTTATGGGTAGTAAACGCATTTGTGCGTCTCCCCTTTTCTAACCAGCTTTTTCGTTTCCCCACACTGTTTCATAGCCATACCAATCCCCTTGGGCTCTTAGTTACTAGCTGCTTACATTGCCGAGCCGTAGACGTTCTCCGTGCAGTTCTTCCTTTAACAACATCTACTGCCACATACATACATACATGCACATAGATATGAACTACTTTGATATTCGGTTTTTCAGCTGCGTAGAAGCGTATTCAGGAGCATTTGACTCAGTTTTTACATTTTCCCTACCATTTGTTCCATGTTTTTATTCACCTTTATTATCAGTAAGTGTGTATAGATGTATGTATCTACATATATCCTTCCATGTTGTTGCTCTCACGCAATTAATTATCCTCGGGCATTATTATTTCTTGTTCTTTTGTATGAATGTTTTGTACGAGTTTGCACATTTTCAATGAGTTGTTCATGACTTCAGCTTTGTTTTACTATAGGGGTATTCACGATCCGGTGCATACGGTCTAGCATGGTGCATAGATAGCACGACTGGCAAATTTTGTTGTTGTTTGAACACATGAAACAACAGCAATCATGCTATTTTTGCTATCTGTGCAACATGCTAGACCGTATGCACCGGATCGTGAATACCCCTTATATATTTATGTACATACATACATGCATACTACTGACGACCATTGTTGAAATGTTTATTTTATTACAACTAGTTATTATTTTGTCTTTGTTTTTACTTCTGCTTATTGTTATGCTGCCAGGCCAGCCTTAGATATTCGTAAATTGCTCATCTTGGACTTTTGGCTTAACTCGACATTTGTTTGCATTCTGCGGGAGAGCACAGCGCAGCGTAATTAAAAGTGTCCATTAGCGTCTCATTATAAAATTGTACTTCCAGCTCTCTTACTTCGTAAATATCAGCAGTGGAAACTTATTTGTAGAGAATATTTAATATCGTTGTTAGATATCAATAATCGTAGCTAAAAGCTATTAAAAGGTGGCCAGCAGTTAGCCCCTGAAGGTTGTCAGATAATAGTATAAGCGGTCTTGAATTTAAAATGGCTTCAATTTGAGTCACTAATGCTGACATTTCTTCAAATGTCATTGTACCTTCAACTACCCTAAAGAAATGCTTTTTTACTGATTTGATTGTCGTTTCGGATAGCCCTCCTACCTGGGGAGATCTTGCTGGTATATTTACCCAAGTAATTTCTATTTGACTGCAGTATGTTTGTGAGCTACTTTTTATTATTTTCTTTTTGAAAGAGCTTATAAACCTCGTGAAGACTATTAGCTGCTCCTATAAAGTTGTTGCCATTATTAGAATATATTTTGTGTGGGCAACTTCGTCTTCCTATGAATCTTTTAAGGACTGATATGAACGCTGCTTAAATCAGGTCTACATACTTCTAAATGAACAGCTTTCGTTGCGAAGCACGCAAACACACAGACATAACCCAGTGGGAAAATGTAATGTATAGTAATAAAAAAAATAATCAGTAAAACAACCCTTTTCACATTCGAAAATGCATTTTTTTCCCCCAGGGCGATGTCCTAAGAAAGGTGGGGCATTCAATTTTGCATTACCTAGTATCGATAAATGAATGTCTTGTAATGTGAAATTTTTGGAACTTTTTTGAATACATTAGAATGCTGATTACATAGTGAGCAGTAATATAATCGAGAACTCATAAGAAATACATTATAATGTTTATCACGCATGTAATGCATTACTACTTTTCCGACTGGGAAGTTTTGTCAGCTCTATATCCTCGTATTTTGTGATGAAACAAAATGGGGCCTATAGAAAGATCCGATGGCCGTTAATCTATCGTGTGGCAAATTTCCCATCAATTGATGTAATCATAGCATTTATTCACTATTTTATCTGCTAGTTGCCTGCCGCGTATCCAAAATTTTTTTCGGCTTTTTGCTAATAGTCCCTGTGGCTCAACGTGTAAATGCTTTTAATGCAGGTAGGTAATTAGAAGTCGTATGAATTCACCTTCATACGGCGATCGAATAGAATGTTTCGCATCTTCTGGAAGTCCGCAATTCTGTACTCTGCCTCCTCCTCTTATTATACTATTCATGTCTAAAATTGGAGCTAATGTGGCTTACCCTGAATTTTTGGGCAGCTGCTTATTCGAGGCAATAAACTTTACTTCTAAACTAAAATATTTTTTAACCGACTTCACAAAAGGGAAGGTTATCAATTCGTCGAAATATTTTTTTATTTATGTCTTGTTTGGACCACGTTAACCGAATTCTATAATTCTTTTTTTTTTAATGTGTTACCTCACAGGTGGTCCCATACTAATTTGGTTTAAATCCGATCATTACATCATGAAGCAATTAACGATAATCTTAAATTTTTACATGAGAATTGAAGTAGGTTTTGTTTTTTGCTTAAAAAATACTTGTTTTTAATTTAGTATAAATTTACTTATATTTAAATGGCTTTTCTAATAGCCGGTTCCACCAGCAACTTAAATGGACTAAAAAGTAGAAAATAATATTTCTCAGTCCTAGAGATTGAAATCTCATAAATTATTTATAACGAATTTTGCTAGAATTCTAAAATCAAAAGTTATCAAAACAAATTGACTATGGGACTGAGAAATATTTTTTTCCACTTTTTAGTCTTGTCTGTATACAATTTTGCAATAGATATTAAAATAACTCAACGATATTAATAAATTGGTGCACACACTTGCATATACATATGTATGTACATTAGGGTGGTTCAAAAACAGTAAAGTCGGAATTGTAATGCTCTCACCCGCTAGGATTGTTCTATATCGAAAAAAGTATGCCCTAATTTTTTTAATTTGAAATCAAAAAATATTTAGAGGTCGCTCAAAGTGCTTAAAGTTTTCCATGTACATATGTTTATATGGAAAAAACAACTTTTCGTAGAAATGGTATAGAATTCTTGAAAATCAATATTTTATTTTTTGATATTTTAGAATACTATACCATTTCTACGAAAAGTTGTTTTTCCCCATATAAAGTACATGGAAACCTTTGGGCGCTTTCAGCCACCTCCAAATATTTTTCGATTTCAAAATAAAAAGTAGGGGTATATTTTTTCGATATAGAACAAACCTAGGGGTGAGAGCATTAAAATTCCGACTTTACCTTTTCACATGCATTTTTGGACCACCCTAATAAACAAACATAAGAGCACCAATTAATTTCATTTAAAGTAATGGCGTGTCGTCCATTTCCGCTGTAGCGTATACGGTGCAGATTTTTAGGCGCAATATTTAACTACTTGCGGCGAACGACATCTACCTCTAGAGTCTTTGATATGATACCTTCCGGCGAGGCTGATGTCTGGACTTTTTTATAGGATCTTTGCAAAGCAAAAGTTTTATAGCTACAAATGGTGTCTGAACACACAACATTACGATAATAAAAGCGTTGTAAACAAAAAAACAAATACATACGTGTCAATATGTGAGAGTCGTATAGTTATGATAAGCATTACATACATACATATAACATGTTACTCTTATATTGGTGAAAATATTTAAGTAATACTTTTTCATAAGAAATTTTTACGTTTTCTGATTCGCAAAAAACCGACAATAACCAAGTAATTTTTAAGCAAAAAACCAAATCGACTTAATTTCTAATATACAAATTTAAAAGTATCGTTAATGAACCAATGATTGGATCTAAACCAAATTAGTATGGGACCACCTCTGAGGTACCGCGTTCCTTAAAAAAATATTCCGACGAATCCATAACCTCTTCCTTTTTTTTTAAGTCGGTTAAAACACATATATCTACTACGGAATTTTTTTTTTCTTTAATTTTTCAATGGATTTACTCCTGAGTCGAGTTTCAGGAGCCTTATAATTTGCACATATGCCCACTAAACACAAATTTGCTTAACAAAATATACAATTTTTCATAAGTGGTAGTACATAAATGTCTATAGTATCTACGAAAATCATTGCAAGTAGCTAGTAGTACCTAGTTATTTTATGATTGAAATGTGTGTCACTAGTGAAAAGAGAAACAGAGCCTGTTTTACAAAATTTTACAAACATTTGTCGATCAATTTTTTAACAATATCGTTGTTGTTGTTGTACCAATTATGTACCATTCAACATATCGTATTTCAGCACCACTTACGTGTAATTGAAATTTTCCATTTGTCGAACGCCAATTCAATTAACTGTAATTTGAACGAATCGTATACAAAATTTTTAACTAAAATGAAAATAAAGTACTTAATTGCAAATGGATTTGAATGCAATTAAACAAAATGGACGTCCTTTCACTTCACAGAAACAGCATTTCAATCATAAAGTTCTTCTATGCTAGTCGTTGTATTCACAACACAAACATTTTGTACATTCATTACGAAAACTTTTGAGTGAAAGTAATGGAATTGAATAAATTATCTCGTAATTAAATCAAAAATTAAAAAAAAATAAATAAAATAAAGCACAGCAAAAATAAAATAAACCAATGCAAAACCAGATAAATTTTTAAGTGCAAGCAATGCAAAGAATGTACTTGACATTGAAAACTAATGGAAATCTTGTTTCTGTGTCGTTAAAGGTTGTCCAGACGGTTGCCACCGATCCTACTACTAATATGTAACAAGTCAAACAAGAAGCAAGCATTCGGGCGCTGAAGAGAGCTAAAAAAGGCTAAGAGTGGGTTGAGGAAATCTAAAGTACGCCAGCCACAAGCCGAGTACACAAAAAGAAGTTTTGCCGTAAGGACAGCAAACGAACAAACAAACGAACAAACAAATACACATACACAAATACCAATGCCAGAACAAGGGAAGCAAACACAATGTGCCTGTTAGTAACAACAAGAAAATCAACAAAAACAAGCAACACAGCAAAAAAAACGCCGCTAATACCACAACGAGCAATGCGAAGGACGAAGGAAGTATTCGTTGAAACTAATGCAAAAGTTCTTGCATTCGAAACAAACTAGTAGGTACAGGCAGTAGTTGGAAAGTAAAACCACGAAAACTACAAAGCACTGAAAAGGTGAAATACAACAAAAATGGTAATGGTAATAAAAATTCCGAAAGTAACTGAAAGCGCTGGGACTAATTATCAACACGCAGCAGTAACAAAGTACAGCATTGTCTATAAAAGAGGATAGTAAAAGCGGAAAGCAAGCGAACAAGCATAAAAGGACCTAACCTTACGTCCTTTGGAAGTAAAGTGAGCGACTAGCAAAAAATACCGTACAAGTACAAAAAAGCAACAAGAAAGTAAATAGAATAACAACGCAGCTTACAAACCAATTCACATCAAAATGGCAGGCTCCTTTCAGATACCTCTAATCAATCTGGAACTGCGTGAAATCAAGGATATCGTATGGGAGAAAATACAAGAGCCGGTGAACCAGCGCCGTCTCATCTTGGTAATAGTATCGATAGCGCTGTTGCTGGACAATATGTTGTATATGGTGATCGTGCCGATCATACCCGATTACTTGCGTGAAATTGGCAGCTTTGAAGTCGGCACACCAATGCCGCCGCTACTGCGCGATAACCGCACCGGCGAAATAATACCCGTGCACCACGACCATCACGGTCAGGACTCAGCCACTGGCATACTCTTCGCTTCGAAAGCCATTGTCCAACTGATGGTTAATCCATTCTCTGGTGGTCTTATCGATCGCATCGGATACGATTTACCCATGATGATCGGTCTAACAATTATGTTCTTCTCAACAGCGATGTTCGCTTGCGGTCGCAGCTATAGTCTACTATTCTTCGCGCGTTCACTGCAAGGTGCAGGCTCCGCTTTTGCAGACACATCAGGCTTGGCCATGATCGCTGACCGTTTCACCGAAGAAAATGAACGCTCACAAGCGCTGGGTATTGCATTGGCCTTCATTAGTTTTGGTTGTTTGGTGGCGCCGCCATTTGGCGGTGCGCTTTATCAATTTGCCGGCAAGGAGGTGCCATTCCTCATCTTGGCGCTGGTGTGCCTACTGGATGGTCTTATGCTTTTGCTGGTAATGAAGCCGGTCAAAGAGCAACTGCGCCAAAGCAAAGAGGTGCAACAGCAATCGATACCTATTTGGCGCCTACTCATGGATCCCTACATTGCAGTGTGTGCCGGCGCTTTGACTATGTCGAATGTGGCGTTAGCCTTCTTAGAGCCCACCATATCACTGTGGATGGAGGATAATCTAACAACAGAGAATTGGAAAATCGGTATGGTGTGGCTGCCCGCCTTCTTTCCACACGTACTAGGCGTCGTCATCACTGTCAAAATGGCGAAAAAATATCCACATCATCAATGGCTCATGGCTGCCGTAGGCTTGGCGCTCGAAGGTTTCTCCTGCTTCATCATACCATTCTCCAGCTCCTACAAAATGCTCATGTTGCCCATCTGTGTGATTTGCTTTGGCATTGCGCTCATCGATACTGCCCTACTGCCTACGCTCGGCTACTTGGTGGACGTGCGCTATGTATCCGTTTACGGCAGCATATACGCCATAGCAGATATTTCATATTCAATTGCATACGCAGTCGGTCCGATTATAGCGGGCGGCGTTGTGGAGGCAATCGGCTTTACGGCGCTCAATTTCATCATTGCCTTCTCCAATTTGCTGTATGTACCCGTGTTGCGTAAACTACGCAACATCTACGACTTTAAGCCGTTCGAGAATGAAGCCAACATACTAATGCAAGATCCACCGAACAAAGAGTATCAGACATATGTGATGCACGATCAAAAGCCAGTCGATGGCGATTTTAAAAATCATCTCGAGTATGGCCAACAATATCAGCAAGAACAAGAATCGAATGTGGATGACAGTAATTATGATTACCAACAACAAGGTGGATACCAGCAGGCTGATGGTGGAGGTTATCAACAACAAAATCAACAAGGCTATCAGCAACAGTATCAGCCTGGCTATCAGGAGCAGGGTGGCAATTATCAGCAGGAATCGCGACATCTTCCACAACAACGCGTCGCAAATCCCTTCCAACATCAACAGCAGCAACAGGCGCAAATGAGCGATGGTGTCGGCAGTGGCGGAAGCAGAGGTCCGGCTGGTCCAGCGAATCCATTTAGACAAGGATTTTAAAATGTTGTCTTACACAAAAATAGCGGTAATCTACATATGTTTGTTTATATACATATATATTTGAACGCATAGTTTATGTATTTCGTTGATTTTCTAATAATGTGTAGTTTTGTTGTTGTGGCTAATAGGTATAAGATTACAAACACACATACATATAAAATGAAAGAGTTGGAGAAATTCAAAAAACAAAAAGTCAATAGTTCTTAGAGNCATTTTGTTGTTGTGTCTAATAGGTATAAAATTACAAACACACATACATACCTACATACATATAAGATGAAAGAGTTGGAGAAATTCAAAAAACAAAAAGTCAATAGTTCTTAGAGCAAAATGGCCTGTACACTATAACCGATTAGCAAATTGATATGTATGTATGTAGATATCTATGAATGAATAGACGTGCTTACACACCGAAAAGCAGAGAAATATGCACTCATGTAAAAACTTTAGATAAAAGAATCTCAAAAGTAGTTAAATAAATAATTTTCAATGCAAGCAACATATGCAACTTTTGTATTATACACTGAAAAAAAAAAATTTTACAAAAATATAGTATATGCGTAATTCGCATTTATCAACTAAATATACATACATACATACATTATGCATGAAAATGCACGCCAGATAGCAATATATGTTAGTAATATGAACATGTAAGAATATAAATTATGTATGAAAGAAGCGCATTAGTGCGGTTATTGTGTGTAAAGCTTTGCAATGTATGATGCAAAAATTCTTAAGCACAAATTAATTTATACAAATAATTGGGAGTAGTGATTGCTTCCTCTTGTCTTGTTTGTCGCAGAGACCAACTCTGAAAAGGACTTGTAAAATATATTTTTTACTCACTAACAGGCAATTTATTTTCACTGTAGACATTGTATGGCGTGAATTAATATTATTGAATAATTTTTAAGCAAAGTTTTAATTAAAATTAATAATTTTTGAACTCCGATTGACAATATGTGACTGAAATTTAAGTTAAGATTGGATCTGTTCACTTATCCAAAGGAATTGTTTAAGTACGTCCACTAAATATGATTCTCTAAGTGTAGCCAGATCGGTCAATTTGGGCATTCGCATTATTTCATGACATTTCAGTTTACTGCTAAGCGTGCCCATATTGTACAGTCGACGGTTTAACCTTTAAAGGCATGAAAGGATAGAGCCTTAAAAAACCTAACCTAACTTCTCATATTGAAAAATTTTCTTTTTCGAATGCAGAAATGTTCCGGAAGTCCCGTATTAATCCCGAAACCTCGAAAATCCCTTACGGAAATTATAACTCGAATAATCCCGCAAAATCCTGGTAAAACAACAAGAAAAGTCTTGAAAAATAGGCCACATTTTTTTTTTCAAAAATCCCGAAAACTAAAAAAGAATAATCCCCAAAAGTCCCGGAAAATCCCTACAAGCTTGGAGAAAATGTTATAAAGTTTCGAAAAATAACGAAAATCAGGTATCTCTTATTTTATTCTTAATCCCGAAAAGTAAATCACGAAAATACCGAAAAAAGTCCGAAGTAAATATTGAAGGTTCGAAGAGTCCGGGGAATCAGGTAGCAGTTCATTATATTAATAATTCCGAAAAGTCCCGAAGTACGAATAGTCCCGAAAAAAATTCAAAAAGGCCGGAGAAATGTTGAAAAGTTTCAATAAATCCCAAAAATCACGGAGCATTTCATTATATTTTTAATCCCGAAAAGTTTGAAAAGGGTTTGCAAACATTGATAGATAAATAAATCGTAAAAAGTCGGCAAAATTTTTGACTTGAAATCTGACATATTGATGAAATATATAAACTCGCAGAGTTAGAGCTGGGTCAAAGTGAAAACTTTGTTTTAAAACAATTCAGTTTATTTTCAACCGTAGTAGCGACTCAAAATTTTTTTATTTTTATTTTAAAAGTTTCGTGGATGTCTATATTTTGTACGCATGTGCTTTTGATGTGCTTTAAGTACCGCCCTAGTACATATGCAACATTTTAACAAGCAAATCGTCGTTTAAAGTACAAAACCGCGGATTAACAAAACGCAAAACCACGCATGTAAGGTTGCATAAACTATTTTCTAGAGAGCAAAAATATTCGTAATTCAAAATGGTTCTCTTGTTTTAGAAAGCAATCACTTTTCTGTCTAGTATATTTCGGAACGAATAGATGAGGCTTGAGCCCAAAGCTCGTGTGAGCAAATCCAATTTTTGGCAAAAAAATGTCAGTTACGAGGTTTTGTACTTTAAATGACGAAATATTTTATGAATTTCACTCAAATGGCTTTAAATTTCAGTCACATTTGGCTCACTACAAACGGCTAATTAGAAATTATAAACTTTTTGAAATGCACTTTTGATCAAAAGTTAATTTGTTGTAAATTATACGATCGTGAAAAAGAAGCTAGCAAGACCAAAGATTGTATAGTAATCATACATAGAATAGAAATCAGAAAGATATACCTACGTAAAACAAAGTTTAAAAAATTAAAAATTAGTACATGTAAGTGATGTAAGTGGGCGATCTTCGAATTCAGTGCCACCATCCATCCAACAACACTATCCACGCGGCATCAATATCGCTTACATATCAAAAAGTTGCACAAAATCACTTCGGATGTCGATGTGCAGTGGCGTTGGGGCACTGAATTGGCAGTCGGCCTTTCTAGGTTTAATAAAAATTAAAAACCAAACAAAAAAAAAACAAAAAAACAAATCCTCAGTTCAATTAAGTGTTTAGTTTAAGTTTGACGATGCATTGCGACTTGGTTGGCAAAAGTTTAAACCGCACGCAAGCTCGCATATCAACTAAAAGTGGACATGTTGTGGGTCGAACCGCCGACGTACATATTGTACATACATACATAGTCGCTGCGTCCGATAACAATTCTTAAACATAAGACACAACCAAGGTAACGATACATATCAGAGTCGAATGGCTCGCCTGTTTAAATTACCACAGTGATATTAATTATTGCTAATTAGCATGTATTGTATAGGTACATACTTACATACATACATACATATATATATACATATAATATATACATAAATATATATAGTATACATATATAAATATATTATTAATACTTATAAATGCATACATATGCATATCTTTACTCATGTATGAGTCTTTGTGTAAATGATTTCTCTCTGATATTAAGCAACTAGTTACTGAAATACAAAATATTGCTAACTTACATATATACAATGTACTATAACTAAAACATTTACATGCATACAAAATTTAATATTTTCAATGAAATTACGCGCTGAATGCTGTAGCTAATGTTTATATGTACATACATACAAGTATTTATATTCGAAGCGCGTATTATACTGCATACTAACTTACACACACACGTAAGCGCTTGCATACATCTAAATATGTAAGTAGCTATCAATTTATTTAATAGTGTTTCTAAGGAAGTATTTAGAAAATGAAAATGAAAAGCAAACTTTACTTTTTATATGAGCAAAAATTGTTGTAGTTAATTAAAAAAAAAATAAAATAAATAAATAAAATACGCGCGAAAAGCTATACTAATTAATATATTTTACGCGCATAAATATCGAAATCGAAAGAACACGAGCGTTGTGACAACACTGTGTAACACATTTTATTTGCATTTAACATTATTTAGGAAATTTTAGTTATTAAATAGTTGAGATTGTTAAGTCTGACTGACTTCTACTTTGGTCTCTTCAGACTGGAATAAAATGTTGCAGTTTTCAAATGTCATCATACCTAACTTCAAAACATTTGTTGCATCTGCGATATAGTATCTTCCCAAAATCAGTTTTTCGCCGTACTTATTGGTCTTTCTTAACACTCACACCATCAGAGCATGAAATTGTTTTATGACTCCCTTCTGAGGTTGGAGCCAAACGCATCCTTCTACAAACAAATCCTTCCAAGGGGCGAATGGGAGAAGAATGGCAGTCTCTAGAGTATAGGTCCAATAAACATCTTCACGGACGGATCGAAGCTGTACGGGAGAGTTGAAGGAGGTACCCACTGAAGGAAACTCTCAACAGATCTTATGTTAAGACTGCCGGATCTCTACAGCATTTTCAGGCAGAGGTGACCGCTATAAAAGAGGCAGCAGAATGGCTATGTACCAATGTTTTGCCCACTAGGAGGATAGAGATCGACTCTGATATCGAAACTGGTCGCCGAGTGCCTGATCTCTCTCTCAACCGCCTCAGAATACTTCCAAATCAAGCAGGGACGGCGAATTAGCCAGACAGAGCACTCACGAGACCATCGCCGCTGGCAACCTGCGGCCTGCTCTTAGACAGATGGGCTCATAATCGCCTAAGCGAGCGCTAAGCTCAAAGCCGATGCGCAAAGTTGCAAGGTCTTTCTGGCCGGTTGTTAACCGCAGGCGGTCAAGGGCGCTTCTGCAGCTTTCGATTCTTGCAGGTTTACAGAGCGGACATTGTCTTTTAGGAATACACGCGGTGCGACTTAATATCTTCACAGATCCCTACTGCCTACATCTTTAATTTTGCGGCACTACTCTGGCATAGCCTAGGTCTGGATATTGTTGAACATATTCTGTCTTATTCTGAGTTTCACCTGAAAAAAATCAACCGAAAATTTGTCATCTGCCCATAGTAAAACCTTGGAAACCAAAAGTGAAAAGTGAACCGGTTCGGGGAAAATGAAACTCATGATAAGGCTGATTATGAAGTCCAACCTATCCAGACTACACCCTAACATATACCCAACTGTTTAGCTGAGGGAGAGCGGGAGACCAGGTTTAAAGTTGTGGTCGAGTTATAGTAGAGGAGGTAGGGAGTTATGTATCGAGCTCAATGAGCCCGTATGGTGTATAGGTGCACATCAAGCCAACCACGCACTCCATATGGCTGCTATGCGAGAGAGAGGGAGAGAGAGAGAGTGAGATTTGCGGGCAGGCTGATGAAGTGGTAGCGTAGGATGTGACCCTTTTACCATGTATTAATTGGGGGACTCCATTGGAGGAGTCATGCTCTAGCTGCCGTAGGCTGCTGTGCAATGAGCAGGGATTTATTTGCGGGGACTCCATTGGAGGAGTCATGCGCTAGCGACCGTGGGCTGCTGTGCAATGAGCTGGGATTTACTTGGGGATGCATTAATGCACAGCCCCTGTGTGGTTTGCAAGCCGTAGCTTACTACAATACCAAAAGGTACTCCGGGAGTGGAGTGGGAGCGATGCTTAAAGCACCGTGTGATAGCCAAGCTGGTTAAGCGTTGACCATGCTGAAAATGCCAGCGACTTATCACTTCACTAAGTTCAGCGAAGAGATATTTGAGAATTGCATAAAAAATGCATACCCAATTAAGAACGAGCGAAATACTTTTAAACACAAGTGCGTGTGTGTGTTCGCTGCACTTGGTTTATGCGGGAATGCAATATAAATGCGTGTGGGTGTTCGCTGTTCTTTGTTTATGCGGGAAATGCATAAGTCGCTTAAACACCAACTATGTGCTATATATGAACAACCTCTTCATATTTCCCCTTAGACCCATTCAACTAACAGCCTTTTCCCCCTAGCTAAGAGTGGGCCATAGATGGGCAAGGGCGCTTCTGAATTCCAAAATGAAAAATGATAAGATGGAAAAATTTCAAAACATTATCTACTTTCGAACCATCTCGGTAATCCGGTCTGTGGTGTATCCGGTCCACTTTTACAAATAATTCTATGGTCTGACAAGTACAGTCTGGCGATATACCGACATCGTCTTCTACAATGTTTGTCTGATTGCCGACATTGTAATGTATGGAAATCACGAGATAGGAGTATATTTTATTTGCAGAATTTATTTTTTTTTCATGAACAAAAAAATTGTTTCACAGTGTTTCTTAGCGTTGCATGAATAGGTGCCCGATCGGTCGAGAGTTTGAAAACATGCGCAAAGGGTGGTCCTTAAAATATCAACATCATGAGGCAATCCTTAATTTTTTTTTACGTAAAAAATAAAGACATGCTGAAAAGAACTGTTT